GTTCAGTCTTTGTGGCCTTCTTGTGTATTTGTTCATAGATACATAAAGTGCTCTTCTTTGAGATATCGCAGTTATTATAGAAAGCATCCAAATTCTGGTACTAAAAGGTTGCAGACAACTACATATGAGGCAAACATTGTACTTGCACCATTTGTTCCTCCCAAGTAAAATAATACCAATAAAGCACATGTAAAACCTACTTCTATATTTACAGGATAAAGGGCATTAAGGAAAGCAGCTCAACACATTACAGTTCAACAGACGCGGCCTCTTTTGTTGCATGGCCTGACATGTGCTGGCCCCATTTCCACGGACCACCAGGCACTGTGTACTGCCACCTGATGGCAAAACTGGGCCTTCAGCTGCCCTGTCCACCTGGTCACCACAGTTTACAGGGAAAATACACAATGCAAGCCAAAAACCTATCAGCAGCCATTACCAGCAGCACAGTGTCAGAGGAAGTTCAGGCAGGGGGGAGCGGAGATAAAATGTGGCGCTCACAGGAGGGTGTGTTCAGCTAGATATGTTTTTCCACTCCACTGGGGGCACAGCCAACCTGTTCCCCTGGTTTATATATGGAAGTAAACAGGATGCTAACAGTGGGAACGCAGTGGCTCTCCATATGTAGCCCCATTATCTTGATGTTAGGAATAAGATAGTGTAGCATTTAACAGCCAGTCTCTGCACAACTAAAAGGTTCTAGCTAAACCATGCTCTGTGCGTGTCTAAGAACTTTTATTAGTTATTAGGCGAGGACAGCCTGTTTACATGAGCTTGTGTGTGGCATGTACTTACAGCAGGTACGAGGAGCTTCTTGACCTCCTCCACCGCTCTCCTCATCTTCATCTCAGCTCTGCCCTGTGTGTCTTCCACTGTGATCAGGACATGAAGGTCTTCGTTTAAGTGTTCCCAGTTTGGCTTCCCTCTGTTCTGCTCTTCCTGGAAAGACGGAGAGAAAGCAAGTGAGAGATATGGTGAGTGAATGTGACAGTGTGGGTGTGTTGAAGCACCAATGCAGTAACACAGCGTATCACAGGAAGCGACAGTGAAATGCAGGCATGCACAGAGGGCAAATAGGCCCTGTGAAGAGAAGCAGGATAACAGGAGCGCCCCTTTAGTCAGCTATTTCGCTTTAACTTTGAAAGGACACCTTTCTTTAATAGATCCCTCGCTTCACAGAGACAAAGACGACAGATAGCCCTGCAGCAATTAATATCAGCCAAAGATGGATGGGTGCAGGGATCAGAGAGAGATGGATGGGGATTATTTAAGCCACACCACCTTAACGAGTCAGTATGCAATTATAATACATGGATCAAGTTCAAAGAGCTGCAGGATTGTGTGGAGGTGCACAAGCGTGAGCCTCTGTCTCTGACTTGTGTTTGGGTGGACAATAGAGTCCGGGTAACAATAGCTCACTGAGGGAGTCGTTTTCCCCCCTGAAACGGCTGCGCCATGGCACTCACAGGCAGCCAAATTATAGTGCTAGCAGGACCTGCAATGCAAAATGGGCTGCATTCAGAGCCTTTGAACAGTTAAAAAACTTGACGTTTCCGGATTTCAGCTTAGGTATGTTGTATGTGTTCCAGGTGCCTCCACGTGAAGGACAGTCACACTGTAATCTTTTGTAATAAGGTAAAATGGGATATTCTGAGACAAACGTGGAGTAGCCTGACAATTGCATAAAATACAAAATAAAAAACATGCTTCTACATTTATGATAGCTACTTTCCTCCCTCTTTTTGTAGCCCAACTGACAGTAAATGTAGTGTGCAGACATTAAGATCGCTCTAAAAAGCTTTCGAGGTTGTATCACGTGTCACTGTACAACGGTGAAAGTCAGCGGTTTGAAAGCAGACGACTTTCTTCTCCCCCCCCCCCC